GCTACAGTCGTCAGCAGATTTGACAGCATACAGGCAACTGAACAGACAGATCTCCAAACGTATGCGGCGGGACTTACGCAACTTTAATACTGCTCGTATTGAAGAAACGATCGAGCGAAACCAAGGCTCCAAAGTCTTTGTCTGCCAGAAAGAGCGAACTGTCAAAGCTGAAGACTGAGTGTAGCAGCATCGTTTTCGGGACACCTGAGATTTTGAGTGAGATTGAGAGGTTCTATGGGCAGCTGTACACATCATCGTTGGAACCGCATGCAAGTGTTAGAAACGATCCAAGACAAAGATTTATTCGACACTATTCCGATGATATCCTGGACGTTAGTCTGAGCGAGATTAGAATAGCTCTCCTACATCTTGTAAAAAAGATATAAAAATTTAACTAGTCGGCCTCGGCCAAGGTAAGAGCAAGAAATATAAATCAAGGTTATCGTCAGAAATAGGGGGTTATTGGCCACACATGGGTACCCCAATGTCCAGCGCTGAGCGAGCGAACCTCTGCCACGAACCTCGCGAGCACTTCTACCGCTACTGTACCTGTACTGGACGTACGATTTAATAGAAGTTTTCTGCGTCCCACGAATACTGTGGAGTCTTTTACCATCGGCGATTTTTTCGGATCTATCTGACTTAGGGACTTTCAAGAAACTAGCTTACTCTCTTTTAAAAGGTTGGTAACGCACCTGGAATTCCCCTGGTGTTGCAGTAGTGTATCAAAATACATACGAAGGCGATCTTGTTTTCATTCCAATCTTTAACACTAAAAGCGACTAGCTGACATGGACGTTTCACGTTAAAACTAAAGGCCGTGTGCCCCGACACAGCCTCACCCAATTTTTTGTCAGTTATCAGTTGTAGGTATGCAAGAGTAGAGAAGTGACTATGTTATCTAAATTACAAAATAAATAATGCTGAAATTAACAAAAAACATGTGCATGCAGTTCACACACGATAGAAGTGAAACCTTCAAATGAAAAGAAATTTAAAATATAAATAAAATAAAACATGCGCCATAAAATGTAAAATAAGAGTTTAATTTTATAGCAAATAAATGTTATAATCCTTAGTTTTAGACATGTAGAGCCTCAATTAGTGTAACAAATCAAAATAATATTCCTTCCAGATCCTACAAAATATGATTTTTGACATAATAGCAAATGTTTAAATCTTCAAAACAAGACATATCTGAACTTTGTTCACACCGGGCTCAAGCTTGTATGAAACCAAATTCATCTCCTTTCTTGAACATTGAACTTTACCGCAAGGTTTTGAGCGACTAGTCGGTCATAAACTGACACGATTTAAACACAGTGCGGCGTTGTCAAACTTATATCTCTTTTACTCGTAGCTAGGCTCCGTGGAATAGGCAATGGTACATCATCACGATTTAGATACACAGATAAAAAGCGGCAGCGTCTTATGACCCCATTTAGTATGAGTACGATACTTTATCCAAGCCCAGAACACTTACTTCTTAGCACAGAGTAGGTATCATACGATTATATAGCGAAAGTCCTTACTCCGTAGTCATAGTGTCGTAGTGATGAAATACTCTTTACTGTTCAATTTAGTTCTCACTGTGTATTATATCTGGTTAGCATATGAACCAAATTACATACATACGTAATGAACCTTGGACAAATTAATATGTCCAAGACATCTAGTTATTTTTTGCAAGACGTGAACTCTACCGAAGAGTACAGGAACTCTCCATACACAGATCTACTACACGTTTAACACGTGTCATATAGACCTGTGCTACCACAAGATCATTTTTTATGTCTGTAATCTCTATTGTGTTCACCAGTTTACCGAAAGCCGAGAGGGAGGCACTGCATGAAAATCTTAAACAAGTATTATAGGTTTTGTCTTAAACTTCCGATTCTATTCCATTTTTAAATGGCACAACACACTTTTTTATTTAAATAATGATTAAAGTTTATTGTTCAGCTTAATATCCATGGTAATGATTATTTACTACTTTTATGTAATTTATTATTAATTTTAGGTAAGTTCGCAAAATATTATTATTTCCCAGTTATATATATTTTTTTGTTTCAATTAAGTGTGTGATTATTTTTCCTAAATTGTTAATGTAATACCAATATTTTGTCCATCATTAAAAAAGTATTGTATTTTTATTTTTAAATTACAATCAAGTATAACACAAAGCGCAAATAAATAAAATATTGAATCACCTTCAGTGTCTTACTTATGTATCTGTATTATGGATAAGTAGACTTACATGCTTATTTAGTGTTTATATATAAGGCCCACCGCTGGGCACAGGGAGCATGTCTTATTTCTGAGAGGGGGTTTGTAGCAGTTCGTCCTTCGCAATCGCCTTGCTCCAGTGTTTGTTGGCGGACTTCACAAACTTTCCAAATATTTTATTCCTCAGAGATGCAGGATGCCCGCACAGCAGAGCACGTAATAAATCGGCACTTAAAATTATAAGAAACAATATAATTATACATCCGTGCCAGCGTAGATCGAACCCAAGTTGCTCCAATACTGTGAGAACGGCAAACGCTTAAGACGAAATGGTATCGTGTTCATGTAGGTTTTAAGGGGGTGAAGCAGACGCGTGTCCGGTTGAATGACGAAAAAAACGACAACGACAGAATGAAAGTTTTTGTAGCTTCTTTTGTTGCTTAATGTTTTGTCGATTATTACAACATTTTAAAATATATCGAAATTAGTACGAATTCGATACTCCACGATAATAATTGTATATCGATATATCGCTTTTTATAATTATCGCTTTTTATACTATTTAATAAAATATCGATATATCGATATTTTTACCCAATCCTAGCGACAAGCTGCAGATCGCGCTTTCATAAGTGTAGGATTATTTCATAACCCACTAATAGTTGAATACATCTACATAGGATATTGATATAACCAAAAAATATATACAAATATATTGTAATTGATTGATATAACCAGCATTTATTTATAAATTAGTTTCAGATAATAATTGGATGCACCAATAGAGCCAGACATGTACAACATGATACGACTTGTACCTATGCCTATAGATGCTTACTTACGAGTCGACGTATACTTACTTTTCAACATGAAAATAAATACATACCTATCGAGATATGTACCTAGTTTATTTTCATGTAGAAAAGTACTTCGTCATTATTGTATTTGAAAACTATCGTCCAATGCGCTTCTTGTAAATTAACAATTACCAACAAATATTTTTTTATAAATTTTTATCTCAAGCGTCCTGGACGATGATGTCCAAATAAAATAATGATGAAGTACTTTTCAACATAAAAATAAACTAGGTGGCGTAGACACACTCAAGTGTTGTTTTACCAGTATTTTTATAACGTCACCCCCACACTGGGATTTTCTCCTGTATCGTGGAGGCAGTTTACAAACATAAATTGCATAAGGACGAACATCCAAACCCGAAAAAATTATTTGTAGGCAATATTATCTACTGGGACGCCCCAGAAGTTTGTTGTCTGCCTGGGTGATAAAACCATAATATATGTCTGCCATGAAAATTATACATGTGAAATAATATTATCAACAATATATATAAATTGCAGCTTTATTGAAATAACGTAAATTATTAATAAAAATTTGTACTTTTCAAGCTGTCTTCCATGACCTTGAGACCATCATAGGTGTCTGCCAATGTTATTTTTCGGTAACTTTTATGGAATATTTCAAGCTGTCAAAGCGGCAGACTTATTGCTATCACGTTTTTGTTCTATATCGACCGCCGGTCAAACTAAAGAGTCCCCATTTCGTGTACCTCAGGTATAGGGGATTAACTGAAAAAAATGTGAAGCTTATTGAAATACCGTAAGTCTGCCGCCCACTGGCTCTTAAGCTATCTGTGCGCTGCGGACGACTGGCGGGACTGTTTGGTCGGCCCGCGCGCTATTTAATAGCACAATATTTATTTGGTATTTCTTTTTAGAATGATGTAAACTCTTTCACTGAAAAATATACCTATATTTCACTCACGTATTTACTAGTGAACACATAGCCTAAATTCAGGCTGAAATTGATTTCATTACATTCGAATGAAGCTACTTTTTCACTTAGTGGACGTACCTAAAATTGTAGATTTTGCTATCTTTTTCTATCGAGCCAAATGTGTCAATTGTGTTTGGCCTACCATAATTCACTTAAAAAAAATCTTTAACTTTCGTAATAAATTAAAAAAAACTGAAAATCCGTAGTTTTTAATGACAAAACAATTGATGTTCTGCGCACCTATAAAGCGTGAAAAATCTGCTTTTGGCGCCCACTTCACCTTAAACGCGCTCTTAGGTATGTCATCGTAGGCAACGTAAATAAAATGTACAAAAAAATTATTACTTTCCAAGTATAAACTTTTAGTGCGCTCATATCTCAATTATCTGAATAATCTTTTGATCTTATTGTGTAACTACTCGTTCAATCGAAAAAACTGCAGCACGCCGCGGGATGGGGCATGTTCAATGTGCATGACAAAAACACGTACATATATGACAGTCGTTTTTTAGTGATATTGAACTCAATTTAAATTGGAGACCTAAATGTCATAAACTTAAAATGACCTGCCGATATGCCGCACGCATACTCTTATATTACAGTATTCTGAAAGGCTAACCTCTCCGCCAAGCAATCTGTACTCAAAATTTCATTAATTACAGCTTTTAAATGTGCACTGTTGAACATAGGCTTCCCTATAAATTGCCTCATATGCGGGATATTTGCCACAGTTGCCACGCATGGCATGCGGACTGGTAACCGCAGCTTTTCATCTTCTTGTTGTTATTAGACGGCGCTGTTATCCAACTCCTTGTTTGTTTCCTCCTGAAGCTTCTTACGGCACCTAGGGAACGATAGTAGTAGTGAGGTAAAAGATATTCTTACACCGCCACTACTCCGTCAACTTTAGGCTTAGGCTAAAAATAGGCGATTCATTTTTAATCACTTCAAACATTTTCAGAAAAAGGTGAATCATAACCATGGAACCAATAAACCATCAAAAAGGTTTGTATCTTTAATTTTTATATAACTATTTTTTATATTCACGTTGTCATTAATCATTAATTTTTTTTTGTATGTCCATAGGTGTTCGTCTTTACACATTTGTTGGTAAATAACTTTATTCAGTATTAAAAACTAACTATTTTAACACTAAATTGACATAGATTTCATAGTCGTTGTGCTGCCAAATTATTCTGATACTATCATTGTTTTTTAATGTGTAAAAATACGTTCTGCAGGTTCTACGGACCTACATCCATTTCTTTGAATTTAGCGAAAAAAATACAATAAGTGTGATCATATGATGTCATCTGACATTGTGAAAAATTTGCAAGCGTAATGATGCCATGGTGTGGGGTGTGTATATTTAAGTTCATGCTTCTTTAGCAAGAGAGCACAGAAATTAAATTTGATTTCCAGCTTGTTATCCTTTTTTAAGTTATTGTTCTTTAATTAATATTTGCAATTTATGTTCATATTTCGTTAAGATAATATGTTTGTATGTATATATTTCTGTTCTCTATTTAAAGCCCTAAGATTTATGTAGTTATATAGTTGTAGACTTTTTACGTCTGCGGTTGTAGAGTAACTGTGTCAGTTTGATAAAAATCTCATGCAATTGTTTTACGCAATAGTTCTGAAATTTGTTGTTAAAGCAACAATTATGTTTTGCATATTACTTAGAGAAAACTGAAATAATAAAAATTTCTCGCGAAACATTCTTGATACGGTATATTATACTAAAATAGTAAAACTAAAATGCAATGTTTAGTAAGAAGATGAGTAAAAATCATTAAATTAAAATTTGTCTATACAAGGCGCTGTACTTTGTGATATAGATTTAGTTTAAGATATTGAAAATTACCCCCTTCCTTCGAGAGCATAAAATTACAAAATTTACTCTACGCAGGTAATTGGAAGTAAATAGTAAAGCAGGACAACCTACATTATCAAGGTCTTACACAAATTAAGATGATTGTTAAAATAAACTGAGGAAACCGATATGATCCGACTTTATAACAGTAAACAGATTGCGCAACATTACATTTAAGGATGCAAACTTTTATATATCGAACACAATATTTTCGAAGCGATTATCTGTAAGAATAAAGCACATGGCAAAAAAAATACTTTTTATAAGTTACGTTTCTTATTTTTTTTTTGCTGTTTTGAACCTTTATTTGTCCCCCTTTTTTAAATAATTCCGCCCACTATTATATACACCATTATGTATATTTTTGAATTCATAGTATTCGGATCCATAAATATAGTAAGATAACTTATAGTACGGTTATCAACCCTAGATTATGTTCCAACTGTAAATAAAAGTGGTTCATACTATGTATCTGTTTACGTATGACTGTTTTTGTTCTCTGCCTAGATATTGCATAACCTTAGAATGGTTCTATTTAAATTTGCAGCATCATTCCATCACTTGTAAAACGACTATAAAACGACACTAAAATATACACTAAGTAAATGTTTGGAGGTTTTTATTCATCTCATTTATCTTTTTTAATTTCTAATTAAGGGACTTGAACTAGACTTTACACTGAATGCTTAAACACAGTAGTTTCATTAGTTTTTTTTTTTTTTCAATCTATAAAACTTCACTGATTAGCGTCAGCCCTATCTAATTTACAGAGATAGATTTTTATTTCAGAACAATTAGGCAAATTAAGAAACATCTTGTTTAAATTTAGAGGTTGTATAACCTACGTAGGACCTTACCTGTCTGCTTCATGTTCTCGAATTACTAACGATCATGATCACTAACAGTTTAACGAACGATCATTTTACAATATGTAAAATATGATTAAAAAAAAGAATAGCGTTTTAATCTATATCAAGAAGTACTATGCTATAGTAGCCCAGAGGCCATTATAGCGTCATCGGAAGAATCTCCCAAGTACTGTTTTTTTATTATAATTCTTACGTATTTCTTATTTTCTCCTCAGATGATGCAGAATCACGAAACCCCAGGTAAGTATTATAATGCAGTGTATAAAAAAATTTATAGTATATCATGCACTGTCATTTGCATTTATCATTGCATTTTTACAAACAGTCGAGGGTCAAAGTTAGTTTAAGCGACAGTAGCCTAATGGCGCGGACCGCAAATTCAAAAAGGTCGTGGGTTCGAATCCGCCATTCGACTACTGTCGTTAACCACTAGTAACACAAGCAATAATTTAAGCTTACCACGAGTGGTTAAGGGGAATATTAGCAATGTTTGTAGCATAGTTAATATTATTAAAAAAAAGTAACCGCAAGGAAACTAGGTGTCCTTGCAAGGTTGCGGCGTTACTTCACGCCACGTAAAGTCGAAAAGGGGCAATAGGCCGATTCATAACAGTTACTAGAAAACATCTTGGTCATGTTCTTTTTGAATTATAAAAGTAATTTGTTATTTTTAGGTGCATTTGAAATAAAATTCAGTTTTTGGATTTCTTTAGTTATGATTTTTATTTTTTATTAAATCAGATTTACAAAGTTTTGCAACAAATATTCGAAAATTAGTTTTGTAGTCACAGGACTTGAAAGATCATCACAGGTTGTGAGTTATTGAAATTTATTTTTGAATCCTTATAATTTGAAAAGTACAGGACCAAGATTTTTTTTTTTAATTTTTCGAATAACTGTCACGACTTGACCTATTGCCCGCTTCTAGCTAGACGTTGATTTCTGGGGCGTCACGTATGGACTTGTGCTGCAAAATGTTACCTAGCAGCGTTGAACTCCATGGAGAGACGTGCTAAGAGGCTCATTGGTAACCCTGATTTGGTTGAAACCAATCGATCCTCGACCAGAGGTGCAGAGTAGCCAGTCTCTCAGTACTCTATAGGATGCATTTCGGAGAGTGTGCGCAAAAATTTCCTGCTTTAATTCCTCACTCTCTTTTCCACCATCGAACAACCAGACAGTCGGCGGATCTTCAACCCTTTGTCGTCGACATTCCACGCATTAGAACGAAATGGTTTGCTTCGTCTTTTTTAATGCGTACAGTACAGGAGTGAAATAATTTCCCGGTGTCGCAACGTAACTTAATCATTTATAACATTATTATTTATCATTGATCATTTGGTAAAATATCCGGAACGTAACTCCGCAACAGTCCATTGCTAACTATGGAATACTTAATACATTTCAGTATACGCGATTAACCCGGGATCGATCCCAGCCTGTACCAATAAAATTTTAATTGCAATATTAACAACACACAAAACAATATTTGTTGAAAAACGTCGTCGGGAAAATCCGATAACTGAACAATAAAAAATACGTAGGTCACTCAATAAGTTTTGAGATACTCGAAATTTAAAAATAGAACGTATCCGTGTTTATACGTTTCTAAAAAGCAAATTTATTTAAAAATAGAACTCCAGCCAACTGCTCTATATAAAAAAAATAAAGTTCTGTTAATTTTCCAGAAACGCTTCCCACGATTTTCTTTATCTATTATCATTGAGCTATTATGTACTACGTACTAGAGGAGACACTGCATTCAGCTACTCTGTTCCACTCAACTGCGGTGCATGCACTGCACTTTAATCAGTCACTCGCTAGGCGCTTGTAGAGTTGTCACGTGTTGTGTTGATTTAAAAAAAAATCTCTTGATAAAAATATGCCGTCTTGTGTACTTAGATATTGCACAAATAATTCAAGAAATATCAGTAAAAACCAAGGAATTACTTTTCATCGGTTAATAAGATACTTATTCAATAAAAAAGTATTTTAAATTAATAATCAAACAAATTATTCCTAAGACGCCATCTCGTATCATTGACTATAGATTATGAAATTAATATGTTCAGATGCGACATTTCTGTGGGTACTTAAGTTTAGGACGAATATATTATTATATTACACATTTTTTTTGTAGAAACGTATAAGTTATTATAATTAAGCTAAATTTTTCATGTTTAAATCTGCTTATTATTCTTTTATTTTATTTTTAGGTTTCCACTTCAAAGTCAAAGTGAAATAAATTCGTCCATTTTTAACTCTCGCGTGCCCAGCATTTATGAACGATTATTTACAACATTTATGATTCTAATTTAAATAAATATATTTGTAGTTTAAATTTTATGTTAATAAGTTTTGTTAAACATACATTTAGTACGTTTTTTTATATTTGACATAGATACCTTTTAAAATATTCAGATAAAAATATCATTAAAATGTAATTCTGACATAATATTATGTAATATTATATTAAATTAGCACATATACAAAATAAAAAACAATTTAAAAATTGTACTCGATATATGTACAATATAAATAAACAATTATTACATACTGACCATTCTACTTACGTATAATCTATAATAACAAAAACTGATCGCGCAAGCGCAATGCGCGTTTATACCAACTGCGCATGCGCGACTCTACTATTACCGCGCATGCGCGAAGACATAGAGTAGCGCACAATGTTTGTTTGGAATAGCTTCTCTAGTACGTAGTACATTATAACTCAATGTCTATTATGATTTTAAATTTGGTTTAACCGAACAATTAAGTTTACAACGGGTACAATCAGCATTAGGGACTTAGCTCTATCACGCGCAAAAATTTTTGGGTGGTGTGCTGAATTCAAAAGGCGTAAAATTAACCTTAAAGATGACAAAAGAACCGGGGCCCCGCAAACAGCAGTAACGGCAGAAACTGTATGGACTACTGAAATATTAGTGAAGACCCACAAATCACATATACGGACATTGAAAAGATGGTAGGCATTAGTTTGGGGAGCATTCATACCATCCTACATCGACATCTTGGACTGAGAAAGCTTTGTTGTCGATCGATCTCTCGTTTTCTCTCCGAAAGTGAAAAACAGACTCGTGTGGATTGGTACCATGAAATGCGTCTACGTCTTGAAAACGGAGTATCTAGGCGTGTTTCAGAAATCATTACTGGTGACGAGACATGGATCTATCAATATAATCCGGAAAATAAAAGGCAATCATCGATACGGATATGATATAATAGAAGGACAGTTACCGACAAAACTGCAAAGACCTCGCAACGTCGATAAGTAAATGGTGGTCAGTTTCTTTCGCGGAGCGGACATTTGTCGACGTCAATGCTGGAAAATTGTAGGTCAGTCAACACAAAATGATATCCTACAGTTACATTACCCAAAGCTATTCAAGCTGTGCGGGAGAGAAGACCAAAGACCGAGCCGATTCGGGAAATCATGATGCATCACAATAACGCCTCTTCACATACCTCCCTTAGAACAAAAGCATTTATTGAGGAATATGGTGTTGAAACTCTGTAACCCACCCAGGGCTATAGCCCTGACTTAGCTCCTTGTGATTTCTTTTTATTCTCAAGAGTCAAAGAAAAAATAAAAGGCAAGTTTTTTCAAGCTCATCCTATAAGACCAAGAGTGGCAAAAGTGTTTTCAGAGTTGGTTTAGGCGAATGGAACTTTCTGTAGAGCATGATGGAGAATATTTTGAAAAGATATAAAATAAATATTAATAGTATTTAGAACACTTTTTGTATATCTTAAAACTTATTGAGTGTCCTACGTAATATCTGTGAAATAAATATGTCGATGACATGTGAAGTTCGCTAACAAGCATTGGGACTGCGTGGCAGATATTTCCTTGCCTTAAAACCCACTCAGAAATGAAAAGAGTCCTGTACCCAGCCGTGGATCGTATATAGGCTGTAACTTTACTTTAATCTTAACATGATATACCGCCATCTATTAGCCGCCTCGAGGTGTTTTTGGTCTTTTTTAGTCGCCTCTTACGAAACCCACGGGATAAAACGAATTGATAGATTTTCTCAACTACGCCGCCACCACGTGAATACTTAAATTATGATAAATAAAAATTAGTGCACCATAATACAACATTCTATTACTTACTTGAAATTAAATAATGCAGGTGGTGGCACAAACTGTGTTTAAGATGTCATCAAGAGGACCCAACGCCATCATGGCAACCGTCATGGTGGGCAAAGATCTTCCCATTTCCATTTTTTCCTACCTATAGACAATCAGCACAACGACTTTGCATCTTACTATTTTGTAAGTATCTAGTCTTAAGATATGTGTTATGTAAGGGGAAATATAACCTCAAATGGCTTAGCAAGATCCTCCGTTATGCCGAAAGTATTGCAGCATTAATTTTGAAATAAATATATGGTAAAGTTGAGGATTAATGTTAAGGTTTATGTTAGACGAAAACACGATTCCGTAAAATTTTCTCGATAGAAAAAAAATCCAAAGTTACCTCCAAACTGAATCGTGTTTTCGTCTAACATAAACCTTAACATTAATCCTCAACTTTACCATATATTTATTTCAAAATTAATGCTGCAATACTTTCGGCATAACGGAGGATCTTGCTAAGCCATTTGAGGTTATATTTCCCCTTAATTAAGTGTCACGGACTTAACGAAATTTCGCCTGAATCGAGATTTTATGGTACGTAATCTAAATTTCGCATCATATTGGTGTTATTAGGCTGTTATGTAAAAATTCCTAATTTATTAATTTTTATCTTTGATATCGGTTTTCACTCCTTATTAAATGTTTTTTTTAAATCTTTTTGAGTGAACTAAGGAATATGTCTAAATAGTTACCTACATGAAAAACTCATACCTTATTTTTACAGAACACCTTTAGCCTCTCGTCAGTCCAAGTCCAGTCAAAACCTTCTAAAGATCGCTATTAAAAAAGTACGCGTCTGTCCACAACCTTTAGAAGGTTGCTATTTACTTATAAACTTCAGGGTTGGACAGATGCGCCAAAGCGGGCATTTCGCAATTGATAAAAATATCGATTGTTTTTTTAGTAAAAGTTAATATTGTGATACTTACATACTAAGTTCGTATGCTAAAATATTTACTTTCAGTTTTTCTTACATGGGGCATCCTTTATGTTGAACTGGGAGAAGCGGTTTCCTTGAATGGAGAACTTTTCAGTATGACGATACTAGTCATCGCAGCGTACTTAATTGGTTGGTTGTGGCTTAAAATAACTACTTTGCCAGCACTTATTGGAATGCTACTGACTGGAATAATGTTTCAAAACCTTAATTTGGTGCACATGACCGATGAATATAGAAAACTCAATCAGGATTTAAGGTTCGATTGTTTGATTTTTCTATATCATTGCATTTAATTAATATTTTAAGTTTAATTAGTTACAAAACAATAATTGTGATTTCATCAAAATATCTTTAATTATTTTCACATATTTTATTGAACTATGAAACTTTCAGCATGCTGAATAAAAAAGTAAGCCTAAACAAAAATAATAACATTAGGATAGCATAAGTATATTATCGATAAAACAAGTCTGGGTGTCCTGTTCGCATATTATACAATGCACCCTATATTGCAAGATTATAATAAATTTTAGTTTAAAGTATTTTGAATCACAATATATTACCAAAAGGATAATGGCAAAAAATGTTGATGGAATTATTAAACGTCTGCTTATTTCACCATTACAGATATCAATAAAATAATTTACTATGTTTTATCTAATCAAGCTCATTGCTTATCGAAGTCTGGAAAAAAGTCATCATACATAATTTAAAACTAAATTGACCAGTTGTTGTAGCCGTTACGATGCGCCAATTAAGGCAGGTAAAGGTCTTACACCATACAGCGTAGTCTCAAGTCTGTTTTATTCACAAAACTCTTCTCAATAAGCTAATGCGTTATTTTAGTATTCTCTCTATACTAGTAATAACTCTATATAAGCATAATTGAAAAATATATTGACTTGTTTTTGTTTTAATGATTTGTAAAATAAACGCAGGTAAAGTTTTTTTAACGTGGTAGACATGCTGCAGCTATATTGTGGTTGCAGCACGAATAGGTCTGCTCGGTCGGGGTAAGACGACGCTCTCACAGAATACCAGTGTAAAATAGCAGCTTAATGCTGCTGTGTTTCGTATGGTGAGTGTAGAGAACTGGATACCCTTTTACTGGAAACGAGGCATTTTACCTTAGTATTCAGAGGTGGCAACGCATCTGTATAAAAGCTTAATTAATAAATTATTCTGTTTGTTCAATGACAAATGTTCGCAAAATTGATTCAGATGTTCGTTTAGCTTCTCCAATAATATTTAATAAGCCTCTTTAACGTGTATCACTGTAACTATTGAATGTGACCAAAACTTTTTAACATTTTTTTAGTCTTGATAATGTATATATAATAAATATATGTAGGAATACCAAAACAGGAGATCCCACTTCTGATCTCGGAAATACATCAGGATAAGGTTAATTGTTAAAAATAATGGGTGTGAGAGCGGTTGTTCAACTTGCTCCCTTACTTACGCATTTAATCATTATCAGTAATAAGATAAGACAGCGTAATATATTCAGTACAGAGCAATTACACTTCGACCACACCGTAATATGTTCCCGTCACAATTACATTAATTATTGTTTATTTTTATTTATTATTAAGTAACGTGAGAGATGTAACTATATGATAACACCAAAGTATGCAAACTAACAGCATAACATATCTTAGTGTAACACAAAGCAGCCTTTCAGCATCACTATCTTTCTTGCCTCCACCGGAAGAATCACCACAACGGAGATAAGCACGATAGAAGATAGTACATCTTAGCACTCGTAGAATGACGCAAGAGGAATCTCTTGCGCTCGGCACATATACTGAATTTATACTGCACAAACGAGTGGGGGGTTTCTCAATATACCCTCAATTCCATATCGTCACCTTCGATGTGACGCTCCCCTAGGGTGACGCAACCTCTCGCTCAATCTTGATTCAACCGGTATTTTGTAGACGCCCCGAAATATAAATTGTTGTCGGTCATATCGAATAAATACAATATGGCAATCTGGCCTATAGTTCGTGCCAAATCGATTGAGAAAAACGGACATTGACCTTTCGGTCGTTTAACCAGGGGCTACAAACCTTCAATACCTATATGGGCACTTTTAAATGTAGTACTTTCTTTATTTTTTTTTATAATGATTGATATTATATATATTTGTTAACTATTATTAAAAAGTTATGTAAACGATCGCTGTAGAAGAAAAATCATCTATTGTTATAAAGTACTTTATGCATTTAACAACAAAAAGCATTAATTTATAACACACATAAAGATTCGAGAGATAACGACACAACACAACGTGATAAGTACGTACTTATTCAAAAGATAAAACTTTATTTTTAATATTATATAAGAACTTTATTTTTATTCGGTACATGCGGGCCGGCCCATTAATAGTGCCATTGCCGCGTTTCTTTTAGAACGAACCGACGTAACACGCGTTTCGTTTATTTTAAAGGGATGAATTTGCAAAAGCTCAATATGGTGATTATATTGCTCAAATATTTTTATTAATATGAAACTGTTATTAAATGAATTGCTGCGTTACTTACCATAAATTGAAATATAAAATATAACACATTTTTCGCGATGTACCGTAAGATTTTACGATATTTATAGGAACCACAGACAATATTATTTAAGAAACGAAAAAACAAAACATATGTGCTGACCTAGAAGTGTGAATAATAGCAATATTTAAATATTGTTATCACATCTAAATTGAGATTTTGTAAGTTACGCCTTTTGACACTCGGCCCATATCTGAGGTCATTGTCCGTTTTTCTTAATCGATTTGGCACGAACTATGTATAGGCATGAAAATTCTTCATTATCGCCACGATATCAGTAGCGTGTCGTCGAATGAAAAAGCTTCTAGATCATATCGGTGACATATCGTTATCCGTATTGGCCAATGCAAAACACGCTTAATTAAATGAAAAATTATAGAATGCAAAAACGAGCGAAAAACACTTTCAGGCTAAATTATAGGTAATTTAATTGTTTATAGGAAAATCGCTTTAGTGATAATACTTACAAGAGCGGGATTAGGCCTCAACGCCGCCGTTTTAAAGAAGCACTATACGGCAGTACTACAGCTGGGACTATTACCGTGGCTGGTCGAATGTATTGCTATTGCAATTACTTCTCATTACTTGCTTTCCTTACCTTGGATTTGGAGTAAGCCTTATTATTGTTTCTTATTATCTTTTTTTATTTATTGACTTCTCCTTAAGATACAATATAGAATACGGCATGAAATGCTTCAACAATAATGTTTAAATTTAAGATTGCTTTAAATTAATACCAAATGTTATGTTTACAGTTCTTTTATTGTAAGAGATTCAAAATGTTGTTTTTATTATTGAAAAGTATTGTGTTAAAGCTGTGACCACCTATATATTCGTTATGTATTTTTCATTTACAGTTCATGAAAAGGTTGAAAAAGGCTCTTACATAACGGATACCTATCTTTCCAGGTTTCCTTTTAGGTTCAATGATAGCATCAGTGTCGCCGGCAGTTGTAGTACCATGTCTATTCAGGTTACGAGACGTCGGCTATGGAGTTGCTAAAGGCATACCCACACTCTTGCTAGCTGCTGCGGCAATTGATGACTCGATTAGTGTCGCTGTGTTCGCTATTATATTAAATGCTATGTTCTCTACGGGATCTGCAACTTACAACATAATTGTGGTCAGTACACAATTTTGTTTCTAAACAATAAAAAAAACATTTCAAATAAAGTATGGTTTTCACTACCGAAAGTCGCGCGCTTACTTTGTGCTAGACAAATATGCACGCAGCGGAGAAGTATTAGTTACAAAACTATGAGAACAGTCCTGTAGCACTCAATGAAGAGTATGTTCCGAAATAGAACCCAGTATACTGGCCAATGCAAATGACGTCATAAATCGACGCCATACTGATAATTCGTTTCAAAACATTGGACAGTATATGACATCATACATTTGCGCCATATTGGAAAAATGTTGATGACTATTTTGTCATTTTTTACTCCAAAAGTTATTATATCCTGTTTCAATTAATTTGTTAAGGATGGAGATACCAGTAATAATTATATATTTTTTTTGTTTTTAATAAATAAAAACAAATTCTGGCGTATTTCATTCAGCGTACATACAATTAAAAATTGTTTTGATATGGCGGGATATACGGCACAATATGGCAACGGTACTCCAGTACAATATGTCGTAAATTAATGACGTCATTTGCATTCGCCTGTATAAAAAGATCGTACTCGAATTATTATTCGCATTATGCTTTGAAATTCAAGGCTTAATGCTCCTATACTATACACCTACTACCTACCTACTATACGAGTACGAGTACTAAACTACTAAAGATGTATAATTTCCGTGTTATAATATGCTACTCGTATATTATTACGAGTAGCATATAACTTAATGATTATATGAAGAAGCGAGAGCTTAGCGATATTAGTAGTATCTCAGTGGTTGTATATATTGTTCATTATGATAACCTACTAAAAAGCTTAAATTTTATTTTTCGTATTACAGGGACCTTTGTCAATTATAGCAGGTGTTCTCTTTGGTTCCCTATGGGGAGTTATTACGTCCGTTATCCCTGAAAAGGGTGATATCTACGTAGTACCGTTGCGTTTCTTGGCTTTATTTTTAGGCGCTCTCTTCGCTTTGTTTATTTCAAATTTGATTGGATGGAGTGGTGCAGGTATAGATTTAAATTTAATTGATGACATTTTCAATAATTTCGAAGTCTAGTATGCAGCATATTTTTTCAAACAGGTCCTTTAGCGATAGTATCGTCCGGTTTTGTTGCGGCGTACTTTTGGGAACAACAGGGGTGGGCAATAAACAAAAATCCAGTCAGTAATATCTTCAGAATAATGTGGATTTTCTTTGAGCCCATACTTTTTGCATTTACTGGAGCACAAATAACGGTAATTATTTGATGGTCAGCTATAATTACGCCCATTTATATAGAAAGAACGTGCCACTTTTTGTAAAGGCTATATATGATGTGTCTACAAATGGTTAGTTAGCACGTTGTTTCTATAAATTGTCAATTATTTAATGTGGTATTAATAAGGGTTATTAATACAAGAATAATTATAATTTTAAATTAATTTTCTGGTGACATCAATAACTTTATTTTAACAGTTCTACTTTTTTATAATATTTTTTATTCAAATTATTTATTGTTCTCTTTGGTTCCCGATTAATTATTCAAATACCTAAAATATGTCAGAATTAATATTTTATAGTATTTTTTATAGGATAAGGGTAATAAATGAGCACACAGTCCACCTGATGGTAAGTGGGTGCTGTAGCCCATAGACTTCGACAATATTCAAATATTTATTTCATTAAATATTATTCAAACATTATATTACATATATATCATTCATTTGAATATTTATTTACGAAGTTTATAAGCATGTATATTTTAATGTATGTGTATGTATGTTCACTTATTTATGTATAATGGTCGCACCTGCCAACAATTGTCCTTGGCACCCAGGGTTGACTGGCAGAGAATGCCACATGGCATTATGTACCCTTTAGCTTAAGGTGTTACATGTAAGTTTTAAATAAATAAATAAAATCTATATAATTTAATATTTCAATCGAATATATAAAATATATTGTTTTTTATGCCTATCTATTTACAGATTAACGCACTGGATCCAGAAGTAATAAAAATGGGTGCAATTTGTCTGTTATCCTGTTTGGTACTTCGCATGATCGCAACGTTTTTTGTTAGTTTTGGCTGTGGCTTAAACAAGAAAGAAAAGCTATTTATTGGCGTTACCTGGCTGGCTAAAGCTACGGTTCAAGTATGTACTTGAACGTAAAGTAAAATAATCATCTTTATTTGTAATAATAATCATCTAAAAATAATTCCGTTATTCCTATAATAACTTGATTTAAACTATCGTGGTATTATTTTCAGGCTGCCTTAGGACCGGCAGCATTAGATCTAGTAAATAATGGACAGTCAGCCGGACTGCCGGCTGAAGATGAAGAGCACTTCGCTAAAACACTTTTGGCCGTGAGTGTACTTAGTGTGGTAGTGTCGGCGCCGTTAGGCGCGATACTAATTGCTATTACTGGACCGAGACTCTTAAGCCAAGAACGTAAGTTAATCATGCCTAAATTATTTCATTTGCTAACCAGCGGGTAGTCAAAGTATTTGGCTACCACGTCTGGGACTTAGATTTGAATCCGAGACAATGTAAATTTTTGTGCAAAACACATTTCATTTATGTTAGTCCTCGTGTCCCTAGCTCTCTAGACACTGCATACTTTTTATACGTGGGAAATGCTCACGGATATGCACCTCACGGAGAAGAATTTACGGTTTTTTTATAGACGTGGGGGCAAACGAGCATACGGTTCATCTGATGTTAAGTGACTACCGCAGCCCATGACCAACCGCAACACCAGGGGAATTGCAGGTGCGTTGTCGGCCCTTTAGAAAGGTGTAAGCTCTTTTCTTGAAAGTTCTCAGGTTGTATCGGTTCGGAAAAATCGCCGCTGGTAAACTATTCCACAGAGAGATCGTACGTGGAAGAAAACTCCTAGTGAAACGTACAGTGGGTGGACCTCCGAGCACCCAGATGGTGTGGATGGTATCGCGAGGTTTGCCGTGTAGTAAATTAAGTAGTAAGTAAATTTAGCGGCTGCGATCAATCCGAACAATTCCGAGGAGCACTCCCCGTGATAGATGCGATAAAATACGCAAAGAGGTGCAACTGCTCTTCGCTGTGCCAGTGATTCGAACCGATCGGAAAGCACTCGGTCGTCGACGATTCCAGCCGCTCTGAGTTGGATGCGGTCAAGTGGAAGGAGCTGGTACTGGGGAGCCCCAGCCCAGAGATGGTAACAGTATTCCATGTGCGGCCAAACCTGCGCCTTGTAAAGTTGCAGGCCGTCTGCCGGCATGAAATACTGTCCCGTTCTGCTGAGCACGCCAAGCTTTTTAGAGGCCTTCTCTTCCAGATGACCACGAAACTGCACGTCACTCGATATGTCGACGCCGAGGATTCCGATACTGGCTGAGGCAACAAGGCAGGGGAGTGCCTTGAAACTGAGGAGATACAACAAAGGGGTTCTTTTTAGCGGTTAACGCGCAAGCTTGTGTCTTCTGAGGTTTAAACTGGACTAGATGTAGTCGCCCCCAATCGGAGACTTTGTTCAGCAAAGACTCGACTTCAGACACGAGTTTGTCCTGGTACTCGGAGACGTTTTCCCGAGAAATAAAAAAAAAATAAAAAAACGGCCGGTGTACAGTGTATCACCAGTGCTGTCATCTGCATAGCAATGAATGGTGCAGGTTTTGGCTCGTAATTAGAAAAGAGTTCATGACAGAGAGGGCCAACTGCCAGGTGTGAAATAAATAGACAGAAGGAGAATGCAACGTAAGTTTGACAATAAGGAAGAAGTATAGTGATAGAGAGAAACTAAGAACAGGATAATAAATTAACATAGATCGGCACACGTAAATACTTTTGGATCGTGAGACGAAGCGACAATCTCTCCGCTGGCCTCTCGAGTATATACACAGTAATCTATGGACTGGCCGACCGGTCAAGGGGGCGGTGCTTTAATATCACCGGCCCGCAACCACTGCCTCACGATTTTTTTATAGGATAGTATGACAAACGAGCACATAGCCCACCTGATGGTAAGTGGTTGCTGTTGCCCATAGACATCTACATCTATCCTCGATTACGAATCAAAATGCAGATGCGTTGTCATCCGTGAGGACTTAGATGAAATGCCTCGTTTCCAGTAAAAAGGGTCTCCGGTTCTCTACACTCACCATACGTAACACAGCAGCATTAAGCTACTATTTGACGCTGGTATTCTGTGAGAGCGTGGTCCTTCCCCGGTCGAGCCGACCCATTCGTGCTACAACTATACTACTAATATAACTGCAGCATGGCTCTACCACGTAAAAATTATATATAGATTTTATATAATTTTTACGTGGTATATATGATATTACCATATATGGTCTTGCATCTATTTTCTTGGTCTTGTATCGAAGACCCCGCGCGGATTCGAACATACGAAACTTCGGCTAGCTGATAAGAAGGGTGTATAGCGTAAATGTGAGTGTATGATTGTATGTTTGTGTGAAATGTATGAGAGTCCCCTACAGCAGAAAAAAAACTCGTTCAGCCTAATTTGCACTCAGATTTTTTAATTCATCACCCTAGGTACCACTTTATTTCAAAGTTAATGCAACCAGAAATTAAAGAATGTTGATGCTGCCTCCTCGGTTCAACTTGTTTTAATTTGATGTAAAACGTACTTCTTATTACCATCTTATAGTTTATGAGTTTTGTTACAAATACATACCAATATTTTTTGCAGCGGAAACTAATAACCAAACCAATTTTGAAACTACAGGAAACACGACATCAACACCAGTATGATTCGATTATTCGATATTAAATCTGTTTTAGAAAAATTGTACCATTAAATTTGTATCTATCTCTCAGTAAAGATATAACATTCACAAATTAAAAGGAATAGTCTAATGAAGTAGGTACTAAATATACGGATATGCGATGACTTAATACAATTTATTTTTATATAGTTTTTTTATACTTAATTATCAAATTGTTACTTAAGTTTAAGCGGCATGTTTAAATAATGTTACGTCATACCTATTCAAATATAGATATGTTTAGTATATTATGACTTAGTTTTATTGTAATCTAATCCTATCAAAAAAAAAATCAAACTCATCAATTTATTACATTACACAATTTATATGCTTTATAAGCTTGTAGCGTGATTTATCTTTTTACAAAAACATTATGTTTTACATTTGTTCGAGCACCACTAATCTATTACCAACCTTTGCCGGGTTATAATTCTTTAAAATTGCAATGTCGGCTATCATGTTTTCCACAAAATTTTCCCAGGGTGTAGGTTTCCTGTATAGGACAGTAACTATACTGTTTGGTGTATGCTGATATTACTTAAGACGCGACCCCACTAAGTCTTACCTAAACGGTACGTAGTAATACACCATCTCCTCGTAGAGCTGAACACGGACATTATTTTATTCGTATTCTTCTCTTTTATTGATATACATATCATGAGGATGGATAAAAAAACATAGTCCGATATCTTGGGTTTCCACCATATTGGGTTTGGAGTGACTTCATTTTATTTTCGTATTCTTGGCAAACCTTTCATTTGATACCCATATTTTGGGCGTCGATAGAAAATAACTAGACCGCAATCTCGAGCCGTCCGTCATATTGGATTTAGTATGATGTCATTAAACTAACCATGCATTCTCATCCAAACTAACCTTGTATGCAAAATTTCATTTCAATCGGTTGAGGATAACTGCTTTTAAATTAAGTTACAAGATTTGACCCTAACAACACCGTAAATTGTCAGTTAAGTAAAGGCTTTTAATAATAATAAAAATAGGTATATCTTCACACTATAATATATGAAATATCCATCAATCAATCAATCCAATCTATCCTTCCATCCATTATAGCCTATAAAAATACACTACTGATCTGATGAGTCTCTTAGATTTCCTAATAGCAGAAATTTTGCCGTAGGTCGCCACGCTCAACAGGCATGTCGGCAACCGTAGTTTTTCAATATGTTGAGTTGTTATCAGGAAGATGCCGCTGCCCATCTCTTGTTTTAGTTTTCCTCTATCGCCTTTATAGATTCCCGTGAAAAGATATATGGTAGTATATATTTGTCGGTACCTGCGCTATTGCACGTGCAGCAGCGCCTTTGTGCATATTCTTACACAGTCACTGCACGGCATGAAATATCATTCTCTACTTATTCGGTACTTGTTCGGGTATTTCCCGACCAAAATATTGCTGATGCGTTAATTGTTTTATCTCCCTTTTGTTTTATAGTATTATATAGCTGTTTTGCTTTCCGTTATATTAATCGGCTAAGCTTTACAACCTGACAAGAACTGGTTTTTCTCACTTTGAAGTTTCTTGTTAGCCTTTTAGCTCAGTTTTGTTTGTTTCGTGAAAATTTTAAATGAAGGTGCCAGTGAGAAAGAAGGCTTATAGCCAAAATAATAAATCTAGATCTGAGTGGGATCAAATGGCATGGAATTCAAATGGTCAAGTAAGAAGGCGATGGCGATAATGTAGTGAAATTTTGGGCACAAGTATCCAGATACAAGAATGCGGCTAGGGTGAATGCCATTCGGGAATCAGTGAATTTAGCTACCAGCGTGTTGTCGCTTCCATATTTAAATGCCGAAATATAGCCGAAGTAAGCTATGTAACCGGATGTCAGCTAAAACAGTGTACTCAAATATAACGATACGTCATCAATGATTTTTTTTTTAAATTGCCACACTTATGACTTAACTGAAAATGTCCTCGACAAAGTTACCATAACAGTGAAAAGGAACAGCCGCAGGTTTAGGCTCATCATCGGCATCTGGAGGTGATAAGGTGATAATGACCATGACGGCGTAGTAGGATTGTTTAATTTAGTTGTTATTAGTAATTATATAACTAATAGTTAAATAAATGAAGATTTCTTTAAAAAAATCGCATTTTTTCTTATTTATTTATACTTTTACGTTCTACAACTTAGCGGAATTTATTGGATTTTCGTAAAATATAGCGCAATTTTCATTAGGGCTTAGTGCAACTTTTTTCTTTTTCCTTCATACGGCAACACTGATTGACATATGTTACGACCACAAACTAATAAGAGTACTAACGTGCGTAGTATCCTCTTAGTAGTCTGTGCTAACGTAGTTACGACGTTTGATCTGTGCGTTTGACAACCGTTTTCTCTAGTATATAGGCAGTAATCTATGACCGTTTGTTTTTGTTTGCTTTTTGCTTGGTGCGGTAGCGGTAACTCGTGAATAATTTATTATTAAATTTAAATTATATGACAAATTACAACTTAATAATATAAACTAATAAGAAGTACTAACTTAAATAAATAGATTAATGTTTATTTAGTTGAGATTGTCGAAAGTGAATGGTCTAAAAAACAATGTTAAAAATATTATTAATAAAAATAAAAAGATAAACTTGCGTACGATAACTCTTAGAGATTTCCTTGTGAATAATTGCATTCCTAAAAGAAAAAATTGTAGAAGTGTGGACTAACAATATTAATGTCTGTTATTGTCCTCGCTGTAGCCACTGAAAGTGGCGTACCAATATTTACAAGAAAACGCGGCAATAATGAAAATGTAAATATTACCCTTTTTTATTTTTTAACTAAGCGCTTTAATTTATGATGAATTTATTATAAATATTACGTAGATTTATTTAAATGTATTTGTATATTATTATATTTTCATTACCAGATACAGTTTTCAACTATAGCATCCCTTCATGGCATCAATATGTTCAGTAAATGCCACAATTTATCTGTTATAAATACACAAGTTGAAAATGGAAGCATTCTGTGGAAAGAATATTATAAAAGGTAAGCCTTTTAGCCCTACAATTCTAATGTATTTTAATTTGATTTGGTAGAATGGTAGCTTTTTGTTTTAAACTGCTCTAATTTTAAATAACAATTACAAGAAATTTTAAATAGTAATAAGAAAAAATTAGCAATCATGTGTAGTATTTTTTTTTTTTAAAGATTTGATATTTTGTAAACTATTTTGGTGCTGCTCCTTGGTTGTTGATTTCTTTTATATGAATCAGTATTACTATTTTTATTAACCTCTAAATAAACTACTGATGAACATAAGCTTACCAATTGAGAATTAAAATATTTTGTAAAGGATTTAATATTCATTATTTTTTATCATTATAATAATAATAATGTCCGCCAGACCGAATTTCGGCCACGGTGGCCTGCCTCAATGTAAGCTAGCCATAGGCGCAGGACAGGATTATAGTGCCCAAGTGTATGCGCAAGCACAGGTGCACTCTACTCCCTCACTCTCATAATCCGATGGGATAGTAAACCAACACGACCAGAGAGAGATCAGGCGCAGGACCAGCAGCTTTATGTGCTTTCTGAGGCACGGGGATGAGACACCGCCAACTTGCTGACACTGGGCAACTACTGAGAATTTCTTGACGGAAAAACTCAAGAGTTAATTTTTTGGCCCGACCCGGGTTTCGAAACCAGGACCTCAGGATCAGCAGTTGCACTACTACAACCACTACACCAACGAGGCTGTCACTTTACTTATTAATTATATATTATTATATTCACTATTCATTTATTACAGTCTGTTGAAGTCCACTGTTTAACACAGGCCTTCTGTGGATTGCCTCATAGGGTAGATATTTGCCATAGCTGCCATGCTGCAACCTGCAACTACAGTTTTAATTTCTGTTGCTTATTAGAAAGATGCTGCTGCATATCTTATGAATCTCTTGCAACACACTTGTGAGTAGTGGATGTTCTTACATTGCCATTTCACAATGAAATATAAACACAAGCCATGCTATTTACAGCTATATTATAGTTGTAAAACAAATGGGTCGGCTCAACTGAAGAATGACCTCAATCTTACCTACTTAAATAGATTTTTGTTTAAATATGAATGATAGTTATAATGAGATATAGCATTATGTATGGTATATTTATATTATAATAATCATAAATCCGTGGTAGCTCAGATGGTTAATGCTCTCTGTAAATATAACAGAATGCGAGTAACTCGGGTTCAATCCCCACTGGCACCAATGAAATTGTTAATTGCAATTTTAAGTGCTGATTTACCACATGCTCGGCGGTGAAGGACAATATTGTGATGAAACCTGCACGTCCGAGGAATTAGAAAAAAAATATGTATAATCAAAACATGTGAAGTTCGCCAACACTTCCTTGCCCTAAAACCCTCTCAGAAATGAGGGGAGGCCTGTGCCCAGCAGTGGGACGTGTATAGGCTATTTTACTTTTATCATAAATCTTATATAACAGTAAATTTACATTTTTTTAAATCAGTGGTTGTGAAGCCCGAGATGGTACCTCCTTATTACCATAACAAAAAACATAACCAAGTCACTTTCATAATTAATGTCTGCAATAATATAAAACTGGATGATACAATGTGTTTTAATTTAAAGTTTTATACATTTCCATTTACAGTGTAACGCTCATAGGCATTGTAACAGGTGGATTGGAATGTGACCTTGAACATCTACTATCCTGCATAAACGATGCCATGGTATTTTGTGTAGGAAAAAAAGAATTAGAGAATCTAAAGAATATAGATCAAATAAAAAGAGATTTAAGGCAATGTTATCCAATTTTAGACTATTTGCTGGAGTCCTTAGATCCTAATTCTTTGCCACGAATGACTTTGGTCCTTGATCTAATACAAAGTTTTTTGTGTCCACAATCACAACAATTGCAGGTGAGATACTTACCAGTATTGATATAATTGGCGTATTCATAAATTGCTTTTACCTGTTACTCTACACAGTTTGTA